AATAAATTCATTATTGTTTATTCACATTTGGAATTCCGGTTGCAATTCCAACTTAGCACTCGCACATCAAGTTGATATCGACCCCTTAGCATTGAACTCTATTGAAAATTGCTGCATCCCCGGGCACCTTGCATTACCTTGATGAACCCGTGACTCATGCTCATCGACCCATCGATTAGATAATTGAAACTTTTCTATTCTGGAAGCCCCATTTTCATCTTCCTGGTTAGGGAGACACTTTCGTGATGAAGGTATCTCATCTCTTCTTTCCTCTTCCCATGTATCCGTGGTAGCAGTGGGATAATGACTCCCCCCTTTTAGGGCCGTGATTCAGCTTCTTTTTTTCCGGCCGGGGGAGAATATGTTCATCGACTACCTGGAGATAAATGAGGCGAGGAAAGACGATATATCCCGTCTCTTTCTCATACTTCGCATGATTTTTTTTTTCCATGCAAGAAACCTTTCAACTCCATTCGCCTCTCGAGGTCTTCCTTTCGAAGGAAGGACGGACATCTCGGTGGACTCGCGAAATCCCGACTGCAGAGATGCTGTGCTCAGCTTCGATTTTCGAAGCTCTTCGCATACTATATAACATATCCATGTATAATGTATGCTTGCTCTTAGCATATATATATTTCATACACTTTGCTCCAGTTCCCCTTCCACAGATACCAGTCAAGTCCCTGGAGAATTGAGCGGAAGAATATGGGGTACAAAAAGGAACCTGGACAGATTTCTGCTCTCCTGAATAACGCTCCTTTCTTAAAAATGACGGAGATTTTCCAACTTCTGCATTCGCTTTCATCAGTTGCGCGATGCAGCAGCTTCGAGTCTTTAGGTGGGAAGAGTTTCGTCTTTTTTTTCTCAACGTGTTCGTATCGCGTTCAGCAGCAGAAAAACATTTGGCGGCGCTTTGGCACGATGCGACATCTGTAGAGTAAGACCATAACTTACAGTTTACATTGTTGTTCCTAGGTGTCGCAGGTGTCGCAAGTTAGATCGTCTTCCCTTCCATTGCTCGTTTCAGCGTTACGAGAAACGTCTTATCCATCTTGTTTCTCGGGCACCACTTGGATATTTTTGCTCGGTCCTTATCGAGCGAACAAGATTTAGCTGACAACTGGACCATTCTATCGAATGGAAGCCTATACTATCGAATGAGAAAAGAGAAAGAGCTTTACCGGGGGCGATCGTGGTGAAAGGAAGGAACGTCGGAAGATTGTTTTATGCGCTCATTAGGCTCGTGCTTGAGAGTTCGATCGGGAAGAGTGCTTTATGTTACTTTCACGTGATGGGGGAGGATGCCTTTTGGCATTCTGATATGCCTATAAATTAATATGAGCTGTGGACTCCGAGGTCGATCGGTGAAATCTGGGCTCCTTCGAAGTCGGGGATGCAGCGAGAGAAAAGAGAGAAGAATCTGGAAGATGTCGCGAATCAGAAAGATTCACTCACTTCAGGAAGTTTTCCGTCTGAAATGCTGCACGCTTGAAGGATGAATTTTCTTTAGGTGGATGAGGGTGTCCTCTGGTGCGAATCGCGATAATGGAAAAAAGTTGGCTCGACGCCCTTGTTCCGGTGGATGGCTGGGTGCCACTGCGAAGAGGCGCTGGTGCATACTTACAATTTTTCAATGACTAAATGCAGTTGGGGATAGAGAAATAACCGAAATAGGGGTGCTTCCTCATTCCTCCCCTCCCTCTCTCCCTCCCTCCTTCCTGCTGCCTTTTTCATGACTTCCACGCGCTTAACTAAATCAAACGTGGGGATTATATCCGTTGATGTGGTTCATTTCGGACGAATACGCCTGCAAATGTGTCAAACGGGATTCTTATTATTTCATGTTCGATCGCCTAATTTAGGCCCTCAGATAGAACTTAGCGTCTGTAGAGGTTGCTATCGCTCACACGGGAAAACAGGATATAGTCAACTAAAGTAACCTCTCGGATATAACCGACTGAACTATAAGTTACCTCTATTTGTCACAGATGGCGCAGGCTGTCACCTTCATATGAGCCTTTGAGGCAGTATCCTACGTCTCTTTCCAATGTCGTGGCCGTTTCATTCCTCGAGGATCTGCATGCATAACAAATGGAAGGAGGCCGAGATCTTCGCGATGAAGTTCCGGATGGGCGGTTCCCACCAAAGGAGGCTCTTGGACTGGTTCTGGCTGGTTCAGTCTCCTACTCGCCTCGTTATGATTTGGGCTCGAAGAGATTAAGGAAGAAACGTGATCCGGTTCAGGGACTGAATCGAGTATTCTGTCGGAGTCTTGGGCCGATTCTGAGCGAGACGATTAACGTTCGGCCTCGTGTTCGGACAAACACAGGAAGAAAGCTCAAATAGAGCTCAACTATTTTTTATTTGTCGTTAGAAAGCCATTTTACATGGAGGAAGAAGCTTAAGAAAAATCTCGTCGAGTGCTTGCAGAAGACAGTGCAGCCTGGAGTGAGAATTCTTCCATGTATGTTCCATGTTTTGGTCCCTTGTGCATATGGCTCATCACAAACAAAAGCAAAAGCCTTCTTGCGCTGATCTCACTGCGTTGACATAATATGTCAGCTCTTGTCGTGTTGTGTATGCATGCTACGGGATCCCTCGGGCTTGCACGATTCTAAACAACTCGCTTTCGGCGCAGATACCAGAGTGCAATTTGCAACGACCGCAACTCGATTCCATCTGCTGCGCCTTAGTGGATCGGACTTCTCGTCTCCTGAGACGGAATCCCCAGAGTTCATGCACTGAAACACGAGTGGAATTTAGAGGCGTTCTGTACGAAGATGCATCAAATGCATTAGATGCATTAGATGCTTGCTCCTGTGCATTCTCTGCGTTTCTCGTTCGTTGCTTATTCTATGCTGCGCCGACAGCAACTTTTGCATCGTTTTAAAACTCTACTCGCTTTACGAGAGTATTTCTAAATGTTGCCCAATTTGCGTGAGAAAATAGGGAGAGGGAAAATCCCATTTGGACTTGGGTCCTCATTGCGCCATTGCGCGATCTGTTTTTCTTACAGTTTCACAAGTTTTAATTGTTTCCGGGTTCCCCCCTCATAAGTAAAATAAACTTTCGGTAAATTCTTCTTCAGCAGGTGCTTCCCGCTTTAAAAAAAAAAAACAATCATCTACCGGTGTCCCCAGATTGGGATCTCCGAAAATTTCGGCGAAAACGCTGCAACCGAAGCCTGCAAGCACTCGTGTTCTTCTCGTGCCTCAAAATGGGAAGATTCCAGATCAATTCGGGCCGTTTGAAGACGATTTCCGCGGGTTGGCTAAACTTCAGCTGGCCTTGGATGGAAATTCAGTGATAAGTCCAGCATCATCAGGCACGCGAACATATTTTTTAAAGGAACTTTCGTGATCAGAATCAGAATAAATTATGAATACAACATAAACTTCATAACATTGAAATAAATGTAGTATATGAAAAAATGTTCATATCAATAAAGATTATTTTTTGCTGAATCAATTAACATATGGGGGGGTGATATTGGATCTGTGGGCAATATGAAAACAATTTTTTTTTCAAAACCTGGGAGAATATGGTGCGAGAGATTTGTATCAGACGAGGCGAGACGAGAATTATATCTAACAAGATTATCCCGTTATGCGGCGGCATTTCACACACGAACCGTCGGTCTGCCTGTCAGGCAGACCGACGTGAATCAGGACCGGGGCCGAAGCGCCGCTTCGAGGAGCAAGCGAGTCCCTGCGTGGGCGATGAAGAAGTGCGGGGATTCTCGTCGGGGATTCTTGTTGTCCGAGGGGATTGGGTTTTCGTCGAGAATGAGATTACGAAGGGACTTCGTCGCACTTTTTGCCCAGGGAGATGGGGAATAATTACTTTAAGAGAAAATAAAAACCTAATATGCCTGGAGAGGGGCAGGTGCTTATGCATAAATTTCCCCGAGTATCTTCGCATAATTTATGTAGATTTGGTTGTGCTCACTTTGGTTCCATTTCTTTCTCGGTCCGTTCTCGACGGCATTGTGCAAGCGAGACGCTCTGCTTCGGGGGCCGATTCACCGGAGGATAGACTCCGAGGTCCGACTCTAAGGATAGACTCCGAGGTCCGATCGCACGTTCCAGTGGTCCGAATCGCACGAAAAAGGTCGTGTCGTTGCGTTTTTTTTTAATGATCGCGAACGGTGACATTTGTTCTAAGCTGGATGGCGTTCATCCATCACGTCGAACAACCTCCTTCTTCACCCTTTGATTACACGCTTGCGGTTCATCGATTCCCCAAGCTCTAAGCCCCAGGGCCGAAGGACGAGAGAAACGCCCCCCTCGTCCGTTTATTTTTTATTTTTCGTACTTACCGTCGTCCGCTCCGGTTTTGGCTGTCCTCAAAAGCGTGATTCTGCCGTCGGCTCGTTGCTTCCTCGGTTTCCTGTTCCGAGTTTTGCATAGTTGAATCTCATTTTACTTGCCTGCGGGAGACGAGACCCCGGTGAAATCCTGACAATATTGATGCTTTTCTCCTCCTCCCCGGCATACGAAAGAAGAAACGGAGGAGAAAAAAACTCTCCTACTCGTCCGACGGAATTCCTTTCCCCCGCCTTTCGTTTTCCTCACTTTCCTATCGCCGAATCCGTCATAAAACGTCCACGGTGTCGGAATAACAAAAGAGACCGGCGAATTAGTATTGCTTTCGTCCGTGCAACAATACAGACGCGATAGCATCGTATAAATCGTATTCCATCGTGAAAAAAATGCTAACGAGCATCGGAGAATTCATCACCTAATAAGCCTTATGAGTTTTATTCTCTTCAACCTTTTCATTTTCTGCCAACGAAGGAAGACTTTCCCTCGAAAGGTCGAATTGAATCCTGTCGCTCCCGAACGCGCAGACTTCACGCGATCGCGATTCGCGATGGGCAATTTTTAATATGGAATTTAGGATCCGATTTGGAGTCACTGCGGCTCTTCTAGCTAAGGTTAAGTCGTGCCAACTCAGTTGCACTACGGGGTTTTTGGCGAGAAGATTGGCAGGAAAGTCTGCGGGCGAGTTCCCCGCACTTTTTGCCGTCGAGTTGCATCGAAAAAATCCGCCAAAATGTTTATATGCTTCCGGAACTGAATTTTGTCTCCTAATGCCAGCCATCAACTGAGGCGTTGAAAACACGTCCTGGAATTTTGAAAACGTGAACTTTTATGGAGTTTTATGGATTTCACCTCAGTCCTCGTATCCCTCCCGAATCGCGGCTTGTCAGAAGATTAATTTATAAATATATAAATATACCATTTTCTCTCTTTAATAAGACTCACTATTTGCCTATCCTAAATAAGTAAGGAGAGGGGATGGCTTCGGCCATTTTCCCTTTCATTACTTAGAACTGTCCCAGACATCTTATGCGCCGGATCCTGCTCTTCTCACTCGATAGCTTTCTCTGCTTCATTTTCTGTTGCTTTTGCTTCTTCTCTCATTTTTCTAGGTCTTTTTTCCACAGGGGACAGTTTTTACTTCCAGCCTATACTTCTTGAAGGCGGGCATACGTAGGCTCGGATTGCAGCACATCCAAAACATCCTATACCAGTGAGACATATTAGTATATCGGCTTCTCCCTTTGCCGATCTTTCTCATATTATGAGTCTGGTGACGTGGTGAGACCCTTCGGGCACGGATCTCCGCACTAGGAAAAACTTCTTACTGCGCAACATTGAGTGGGATGTTGGTTACCTGAGCATCGCCATCTCCACATTCATAGAACACAATACACTGGCTGCTAATGAGTAGCATAGGTGCGAACCTTAATCAGTTAATGATTTGTGATTTTGTGGTGAATGTGAGAGAGACTTAAGCTGTGGACTGCTCTCTGTTCGGGCAGAAACTGTTCTCTTCTTAATCTTTTTCATTCCTAGTGCGGAGATGTCGAAAAGGGTCAAGCTGCACCACAAGCTGGTGGCAGGGTCGTCGTGCCCCTGACGAGACTCCTGCACGGCTTGGTGGCACTTCAGGCTAATTTCGCTTTCTCTTTTTTTGTTGCTTCTTCGCGGTTCTTCAGTTGCTTCAGTCCACTTAGGCTAGGGGTCTGCTACGGATGGGCATCTTATGTTTGTGCCTCCATATATTTATATATATATTTTTTTTTTTTTGCGATGCAGGGACACTCCAGGGCTCCGATTGATATTCATCGACGAATGCAGGTTGTTTATGGTGATGAATGTGTTGGGAGCACTGTGTGTCGTTGGGTCAAAAAGTGTAGAGATGGTGAACAAGGAAAAGCGGATTTGCAACCCGATTCTTGTGAGATTTGTCGCTTGCCATCACAGGTCTCCCACTTCGCTGTTGGGTCACACAAATCCGCATTTCCTGGTTCACCATCTTTACATTTTTTGACCCAACGACGTACAGTGCTCTCGTCAACACAATCAGCACCATAAACAACCTGCATTCGTCGATGAATATCAATCGGAGCCACTCCTTCCGCGGTAAAAAATTCGATTATTGCACGTTGCTTGAATCGCGATGGCAAGTGGGTCATGGGAAGCCTCCATTTCAACTGCAACGAGAAAAAAACAACCGTTCACACGACTTGCCAATGATTCAGGCGCCAATGAGTCACAGAACTTGCCAAAACTTGTTTCACGCTACTAGCACTATCTGTTGAAAATGATGGAAGTAGAGGCATTACTTTTCATTCAACCCTTGTACAATTTAAAAATAAATATAGACTTTCCATACACCCTGCATATTTGGGCCAGAAGTGCCTTCAGTCATCCTTTATCCCGCTGTCACTGTTTAGGTTTTAGAACGATATAAATGATATTAAGAAATTACAATTAAAGATAAGGGGAAATTATGTCTCAGATGAGATTCAACATAGTATTTTCACTCTCACTCTGTCCTTGTGAGAGTCTTTCCATCAGAGGAATATCTGTGAGCAATATAATCAGGGAAAGTGGCAGTATGGGAATTGTATTCTGCTCCAGAGATTCTTTTGCCCATTAGGGCCCTGAAATTGCAAGAAGATTCTCAGATCTGCCTGAAACCATCAAATAATCACCTAGAAACTAGCGAGGTTATGTTTTCTGCCATTGCTTTGAAACAGCTGTGGACCACCTACCTTTGATTTTTAATTTCCTTAACCTATCTATCATTTATGAATTTCGCAATTAATTGGCTCTTTTCAAGATTCAAGATTTTCAAGCAATATCTGTTCCTAGGACTATATATAGGGTGGTTTAAAAAATAATGCTCTACTGTATTCTATGGGGAGAAACACATTTCCATGAATTCAGCAAGAAAAAAATTAAATTGGATACGCAATCAATATTTGACAGTTACAAGGTGTTGAAATGTTTGTCGGATTTTTTTCCCGCACCCCTGCCTAAATTGTGCAATACCCATTTAGAGGTGAATTAAAGGTGCTTTAATTCACCTAGCGTGAAGTGTTTATGTAAGCACCCTTGGTCACCCGGTCAACAACAGTGCCCTCTATCGAGATACAGTGCCATCTTGAGGAAGTGAAAAAAAAATTAGACTCGTGAACTTTTTGTCAAGTATCAACTGGATCCAATGGTCCTTTGAAAAGATAAAGTTGAAAAGTTCACTGAATTCTGAGACAGTCGAGCACAGGGAATACTCCACCTTTAAGCACCTTTAATTCACCTCTAGATGGGCATTGCACAATTTAGGCAGGGGTGCTGAAAAAAAGCTGGCAAGCATTTCAACACCTTGTATCTGTCAAATATTGATCGCATATCTGTTTAAATTTTATTCTTGCTGAATTTATGAAACAATGTTTCTCCCATAGAAAATGGTAGAGCGTTTTTTTTTTTAATAAGGTGGATTTTTTTTTTTTAAATAAACCCTACTATTTCCTATGGGAGAAAGTAAGATTCATATATTCAAGCAAAAATGATATAGATAACATCTTGAAATTGGACATATAGTGTTGAGATGATTGGTTTTTTTCATAAGAGTTCTCTGTTCCATGCATTGCCCTGTTACAAAGTTTACTAGTGGATCACTACACCCTAAGTGCAGTAATGGTCTATGCTCCATCATCTCAAAATTCAGTTGAAGTAATTTAACCCAATTTTGACCCTTAAACTGATTTTAATATGTATATATTTTGAAAGGATACTCTTAGACGAACCTAAAAATATTTTTTTCCAAATTGAGCAATTTCTGAGTAGCAAACATTACCAAAGTAGGATGATTACAAGTCACCATCTAATTTTCTTTGATTGTATATTTTGAAAGGGTTTTCAGATGCAACTGATATTTTGCACAGAGGCTCATGGGCCCAAAAGGTTTTTTTTTTTTCCCCACCTATCAAGTAGCCTGGAATGTAGGTAGGGGCCACTGCAGTCAACTACAGCACCCTCTATTGGCATGCAGCACCATCATGCTATATGTGAAAAAACCTTTTTAGACTCATGAACCTCTCTGTCAGGTATCAGCTACATCCAACTGTTCCTTGAAAATTTGTGGTCAATCAACTGAGTGTTGTGACATTATAATAACCATGTAGTTAGGAAGTTAATATATTGGGATTGGGGACCCTGTTGTACCCCCATGACCAAATCAAATCTTACTTTTCTCAGCCTCCGCTTGAAGTACAGACCTATGTTTTTTTGTCTGTTGGCTATTCCCAAAATAATCTGACCATTTGCCACATTTACATGAATTCTGAGATGGTCAAGCATAGGATCCATCCCACCATCCATCCACCATTCCACCTCTTAGCAGCATTAATAGGCATTGCTCAACTTAGGCTGGTGTGTTGACAAAAAACTGACATGGCCTTCACCAACTTGTAATCCTCCAATGTAGATCACAACCAATGTACCATTCTTTTTTGCATATATGAAGATGTGTTTCTCCCATAGAAAGCAGTAGGGCGTTTTTTTTCATCACCCTCTATAATGTAGGTTGAAATGTAATGATTTATTTAAGAAATGGGAGCAACAATGATTATTGTCTCCCAAGCTAAACAAATTGCAATCCAATTATTTCCCTGCCAGGTCAAGTGGAATTCATCTAGAAAGTTGAAAGTTACCTGCTTCCAGCTGGAACTAGCTATAAAAGAGTCACTGGTCTTTTTTATCCATATCCTGTGTATTTCAGGCAACATATTCTCTGCAGTAAGCATAATATACTACCTGTGTAAGTACTGTACTTTGAGTGCCCTATGAGACTTGATACTGGTTCAATAAAACAAAAGATTTGATTGAAATTAACAAATAAATGGTTTTAATGTGTAATTTAGTCCTCTTCTGAGTCTGTGACATCTTGGCAGTGGTCCTCAAGCCATCTGACCTCTCTAAGCGTCGTCTCATCCAGTGTTCTAACCCACTGCAACACAGCCTCCTTCACCTCAAGATGGTCATTGAATACTCTTTTCTTGAAAACATTCTTCATCCAGTGAAAGAGGAACCTGTTGCACAGATTGAAGTCTGGGCTGTACGGGCTTTGGAAGTGTCATGATGTTACTCAGGGTCATGAAGTCCCTCACAGCAGCAGATGTGTGGGGTTGTGCATTGTCCCTCTGTCAAATGACCTCATTCAGGTAGGTCGGCTTCGAGCACAAGCTTCTCCACTGATCACCTGTGTGATGAACAAAGTCAATAATATGCTGGAATCAACAGACTCCTTTGGGGCAGTGGTGTCGATAGAAAAACGCTTGTTCAAAGTGAAGGCACGAAGGGTCTTCTTTTCAGCCACGTTCTGCTTGACCAATTGGAGCCAATCCTGATCTGCTCAAAGCCAGCACTTGTTGCTCTGTTTGCACAGTGGGACAATGCCCAACCCAAAAACATCTGCCACTGTGAAGGACTTCATGACCCAGTGTAATATCACAACACTCTTCCAAAGCTTGTACAGCCCAGACTTCAATCTGTGTAATAGGTTCCTCTTTCACTGAATGAAGAATGACTTTGAGAAAGAGTTTTCAACTACCATCTTGAGGTAAAGGAGGCTGCATTGCAGAGAACTAGGATGCTGGATTAGGTTGTGCTCAAAGAGGAGGTCAGGTGGCTACTGGACTACAGCCAATATGTCATAAACTCAGGAGGGGACTACATTACACATTAAAACCATTTATTTGTTAATTTTAATCAAATCTTTTGTTTTATTGAACCATTCTCAAGACTTATTGGACAACCGAAGTACTATTCGTGTAAGCCCATGCCTTACACATGGTACTTCTTGTATGTGGAACATATGGGCTGCTCCTGTTTGTTTAATGTAACAGTAAGCCTTGCATTGAAAATATTTGAATGCATGACATCAGGGCTAGATTAAGGGGGAGGGGAGGGCAAAAGGGGCTGTTGCCCTGGGTCCCACATTTTCAGGGAGCCCTCAAAGGAAGTTAACATTAAGTATTTGCATAAAGTAGCAAATGTTACATATAAAAATGTGCACTACCAGTGCACAACTGTGTGACTCCTCAAAGGTTACTTGCACCACCAGGTAAAATGTCTTGGGGGAGGCCAAGAATCCACTTGCCCCAGGCCTCATAACTTCTTAATATGGCCCTGTATGACATAAATAACTATATGTAATTTCCATGTATGATCTTTCTGTATGGGTCAATTAGATTGGATTAGCATTTCCTATCATTCTTGTAGGCCTAAAGGAAATTATGGTTTCATTCTTTCTTAGGTCCTCATTGCTGCCCATCAACCTCCTTATGAATTGAGGCATAACCAGATGGAAAGCATCTTCCTGTCTGCCATTGACATCTATGGCAATGATTTCCAGCCAGAGAACTTGCAGAAGCTCATTATGTCTGAAACATCCATTTTTGATGTTCTCCATGACTTCTTCTTCCATTCCAACTCAGTAGTGAGGAGGGCAGCCCTTGAAGTACGTGACACTCTTCTTTGATCCATGTTTGCAGTAGTAATCACCTTATCACTCTAATGCCATTCCAAAGAAAATGCATAGCTCTTCAATGTATCCATGAATCTAGTGGAGCATGTGATTGAAGTCCTGGGACTGTTGCTGCAGCCAGGCCAAGTCAAGGTGATGATGCAATAACCATATCATGCATTTTGATTAAATTGTATCAAGCAGAAGGAAGTGAACTTGATAATGGAATGTAACATTGCCTGTAGGATCAGTCCAAAGTGACATGCATTAAGATTGAAGAAAGACATGAAATGTTTGTCACTTTTCATGTCTTAATGAGCATGATGAGAAATGCTTGTTTGCACAGTGAAAGAATGCAAGTCTTCAAAGAAAAAAAATAAGGAATCTTGAGATGAAACATCAAGGAGTAGCCATTTCACCTCCACTAACCAGAAGTGAACATTAAAATATATGTAAATGATCTCTGTGAAGTGCACTTGCCCTTCAAAAAAATTTTAATTTATGCCAGATACATAATAGCAGATAAATCTGCCACCTATTTGTGTATCATATGATCTTCTAAAATTATGCTTAGGGTAACTTGGGGGAATACAGCCATTGGGGTAATATGGCCCTCCATAATGAATTCCCTAACAGACTGAATAATTAGTTTGGGTGAATTAAAAAAATTGTTCTATCAAAGAGCACATGCAATTGTTGATGTTTTTAAACCTGTTCATTGATTCAGTTCTCACAGGAATTCGGGATACATCGATGTCCTGAAAGTTATATGCATGTAATTCTTTGACTCATGACCCTGAAACTAATATGAGCCATGAGCAACTTAAGCATACATTTCTATATGGCATCAAGGATACAGAAACCATTTCTTCAAAGTTCTTATAAGGTCCCTTCAGAATACTTGTGCTAAGTGTGAGCCCCTTCACTTGCAGTTTGCAGACAGTGTTATCAATTTCGTCATGCAAGCCAATATAGGGGAATATGGCCATCTTGATTTGGGGTAATATGGACACAACCTTCATTTCATGTTAGCACCGCACTGGTCTATTGGTAGTGTCAGCTTCCTTTCATGTGGGATCTCAGGCTGCAAAAGACCATCCAATGCACTTCCTCTGCATATATGGATAGACGTACTGGATATCTGGACAAAACATGCAGTATATGAGGAGGCAGTGCATAAGCATATCCTCATGCACTGCCTCCTGGACATCTGTTTGATGAACTCCAGAAATTTTCATAGCACAAAATTTTTATGCAAGTAAATATCCCTCGTACAAAAATTTAAAGGGCATTCTTTTATTTTTTTGCAATGTTTATGCCTACAAGCTGAAAACACAATGTTTTTCCTGCCATGTAAGACCTTTTCTTTTACACTCTTAATGCATGTTCACTTTAATTTATGATTAATCACTCCTCCCACATCCACAGCCTCTAGATACAGTCTCCCAATCACGTGCAATGTTACTCAAAGCCAAAAGTGTTTCAATCCTGCTTTCCACAACAGGCCCTTGCATCAGGTAATGATGTCGACTTCTTTGCTAGTACTCAATGCAGTTGGAATGTTATTCTTTTTAACTGCTGTGCCTCCCTTATTATGTTTCAAGGTACTCAGCATGTTCCAGCATGTTTCACTTGTACCTGAAAAACTTCCAAGTTGTTTTTTGAGAAGTGGCCATATTCCCCCAACAACATGGGTAATATGACCTCTTGGGAATGACTTGGAAAAGATCCAAAGGTCTGATATCCATGTGGCTTTTTGCATGTGCCTTGCTGGGATTTAGTAAAGGAGATATGAATCAGTATTTTAGAAACATTGTAAAAATCCAATTCAACCTTGATGGGCCATTATTACCAGGTTTCATTTTGTAGGGCCATATTCCCCCAAATTACCCTATGTTGATTTGCAATGACCCTCTCAATCTCAGGTGAAGAGTATCAAATAGCTTGCACTGTTGGATACTCTTCAACTCCTTCCTTTCAGGCAATCCTCTAGTCACTGGTATCAATCATTCCAGGATTATTCTGGGTTCGACATTCAGCTTTTATATTGGCATACATTGGGTGAAGTAAATTTGAAAAACCTATAGTTTCCAATGAGGAGAGAGTGACTTTGTAAGTGTGGCCACAAAGATAAGGTAAATGAATTATCATCAGAAGTCTATGGAGTCATGGAATGTGGATCAGGTTTTTGTCCTAATCCTTCTCTGTGCCACAGTTTCCAATTTCACAATTCACATTTGGTTCATTCCACTGGAAGTGTGGCCATGGTCTGTTCTTGATCATTTCAGATTTGAGTTACATTTTGCCTCATGTCAGATAGTGGTGAGAATTTCACCCTCTAATTGTAGGTCTAGACAGGTGCACATATGGCCTGCAGGGCTGCATGTGGCCCAAGATGTACTAGCCCACAGCCCCCCATGGCTGGTATCATTGTAAGTGCTACTATGACTTCTGCCTGTTGGTCACAGCTGTGATCAACCAGACTAGCAGAAGGTGCATGGTTTGGTGGCCACACAGTATGTTGGGGTCATTCCATGTCAAATCAACAGGGAAAAAAAATCAAATTGACCTGATTTCCTTGAAATTTGTTGAGCTTGTAGGGGCTATTGAAAAACCATCCCACGCCAAATCATAGCACTCTACATCAAGTACTTTTAGATGTGTAGCAATTTGAAAGTAGCAAAATGTGACCAATTTTGGGTCAAGTCATCATCACTTAAGTGCTTATGAGTTTTGTTCTAATCCACATAGATGATGTTGGTGTCATTTAAAAAATCCTTCATGCCCTTTTTAATGATGTGTGAATCAAGCACTTTCAATGAAAATAAAGGTCAAAGGGTTGGACCTTTGACCTTTAACCCTTTGAGGAGCAAGTTTCCTTAAATCTTTTGGGAGTATGAATGTACCAGTATGTTCATACTCCTCAAAGGGTTAATTTCAGAAAAGAGTCATTTTCATTTCCTTCAAAAAATTACCATAACATTCTCTATTTCTTATGCATTTTAATGGTTAAAATTTACATTCTTGGGACTCCCATGGGATCAGGAGATACAAACAGCAAGTGACCAAATGTCAAACAGCCTGTGACAGCAAGTGACCTAAAATTTCTGGATTCATCTAGTTTCAGCAAAATTTCGCTAGAATAGAGTAGTCAAAACTATCAATGGTGTTTTAGAAAGTTATTAAAGTCTTCAAAGTTTCCTGAATAGAATGGTGGAACATTCTGGAAAGTTCTAGAGATATGTCAAAGTTCCAGGATCTTACCAGAAATTTCTAGAAATTGCAATTTCCTTTTGTTATATGCAAGCTTCCTCAGTTTTGTTTAACCCTTTGGCTGTTTGCCCGAATACATACTCGGCCTTATGCAATGGTAGCATGGGTATGTTCTCGGGCTCAGAACATTCACTGTCTCTAAGTTACTTTACAGCTGTTTATGCATGTAACTGTAATCTTCAATAGTTATCATTATATGAAATTATCTTACATAAACTATTGTTTTTAAACAAGCAGGGCAAATTTTTATATGAAAGCATATCAGCCACCCTCCCTGTGTCATAACAGTTATAGGGTTAACCAGTTTGTGTCTCAGTTTCTCAGTTGTTATGCATCACCTTGTGATGAGATGCTATCAAGGATGAGATATTGACTGGTCAATGAAAAACCTGTCAATTGACTTGTCAATATTGTCAGCTATGGTCAATAAGACCAACAAGAGGTTAGGCCTTATGACAGTATATGATCATAAATGACCATGTTGACTAGTCAACACCTCATCACTAAGGTAGATTTTACCATACAGATTACATGAGTTGGAACATTAAGTAGTTATCAGTCATGTTTCAGAGATAAATTCTGTGACTAGTTAGCTCCATAAGTACTCTGAATAATGAGGAATGCAACACATTGTCCAGAACTGGAGTTTCTTGGTTTCTGGTATAAGTATTTATTCTTGTTCCCGTAAGAAAAAGCCTCTGCCTTGCTCAAGGAAGTTCTTCAGAGCTAGATTAATTTTTTTTAGGCACAGATCTTGGTATTACCCCAAGTAAGTTTACTTGTCTCTTGATCACAGGCTCAGAGGATAAATTGATGCTCTATTGCAGACTATTGGCCAAGACCATGCCTTGCATTAAACTAAATTCTAAAGCTGTAACTTAGATCTAGGGGTCGTATTCACGTCTCTCCCTTAGCTAAAGGTTCCTAAAAGATGATGACTGAAAAGGCTCGAAAATAAGGGACCCCTAGGGGTACCGTATTCACGTTCTTCCCTTAGCTAGGGAATCCCTAAACGCACCCCTAAGAGATATAGGGCTCCTTAACAGACCAACGTGAATACCATTTTTAAGGAAATCCTTACCTAGGGGTTCCCTAACTGTTACAATATACTGTTCCTGAGGAAGTGACGTAAATATGGTCCTTAATGCAAACTCTGTATTAACAGCTGTTGATCTGCTATTATTTTAAAAGAACGTTATCAAAACTATATCCAGCGAAAGGCAAGCCAACGATTGAATTTTATTGCACTAAATGTTTGGTATGACCTGCATGGCATGCAAACAGCAGAACGAAGGCGTCACCTCTGCTAAACTACCAGCAAGCGCTCCGGTCCACTGCAATGATTTCCAACTTCTTTGAAATATGATTAACTAGCGTCCTGCAGCTGCTTCGCTGGCTGTCTGATAGGCGGAAATGTGAAAAATCATCCAGGTCTACAACGGATCCCTGAAATAGGTCCAGGCCAAGCATCTCAATGTTAATCCATACAGAGAAGACGCCAGTGCATTTTCATCTCAGATTCACCGCAGCAGGATCAAATGTCACCATTTTTACAACATGAAAATAAATTCCAACCAAGGATTTCAAAGGCTTTCGAATGTTGCGTCAGGCTAGAAATTGCGTCCAAAGTTAATACGAAAGGTAATCCGGGTCAGGTCAAAGGTCAACTCTAAAAAAAAAAATTATAAAATGAGTTGGACCATATGCAGGAAATTACAAATCGAATGAGGTATCGATGGTGG